GACTGACTAAACTGTAAACTTGCTTAAAACTATACAACATGACTGACAGCTAAAGCTACTCACTGCCATTCACCCCAGCAGAAAAACTAATAAATGAAAGGGAAATATAAAAATAAATAGACATATTTTAAGGGCTTAAAAGTTTCCAAACCAGGTTGTCCTCTTTTTATGTCAGTTGTCAGAAGCTATCACTGACTGCTTAAGTTTAAGTACAGGTCTTAGGTCTGAGGTGGTCAGACCTAAGACCTAAGGTTCTTAACTAGCTAGGCTTTAAATTCATCAGTCTTTATATTTTTCTTCTTCACTACATACATTATGCTGGTTTAACTCTACAGACCAGTCTATCATACAGTACCAGTGCTATTGGTTCTCTATTCTACCTGGTAGTTAACTGCATTCACCTGGTGTCCATGGTATAAGGGTCCCTGATTTGATTTGGATTGACCACAAATGAAACTAAAAGAACTATGTAGATAAATCTCATAGAACAGCCTGAACCAAAGTTCCCAGCTCTAACCATATTGCATTAGTTAGCTCTGGCTTAGTTGGTCACATGGTTAGTTTTGCGGCGCTAATTTATGTAACGCTAGACAGAAAGCTATACTTGTGGGTGTTTTAAGCACAAATAAAGAATTAAGAAGTATTATAGAATATAGCAACATGTAATGAACTTGCTATTTTTTAATTGCATAAAATCAATAGCCCTGTGATACAGACTTTAGTACAAGGTCCTGATCAAGGCTAAGGAATACATAAACATTTATGGGAACTTCTTTTGAGTTTAGTATATTGGTGCTGGTACCAGCTCACAAAGCCATTACCATTATGTCCTTTATAAAGGTAGAATCCATCGTGGCAAACCACTCCCACACCACCACTCTCTCCTTGTATGCTCCAACAAACACTGAGAGAGTCTAATATCCACTAGGGTCAAACATACTGTGCGTCCAGCTGCTGGGGTCACCACTGTATGTTTGTGCCTGCTGGGAGGAGATCAAAAGGGGTCTGTACTATTACTTACGCGTCTGGCTCTGGCTCCTTGTCATTTTGGGACTTTTGCTGGGGCTGAAGGACGTTATTTACCAGCTCAGTGATCCCACTAAACCACCTGTTCAAATAAGCAAAGTGTGACTGGAACATCGCAGTGAGTCATCATGGGAGAAAACAATCTGTCCTGAAAGCGTTTTTTTTTTTTTTTTTTTAGGAGGCAGGTCAGATTCTAAGAAGTGAACAATAGCAGGGACATTCACTACAACCAGCGCAGAGAGAGGAGAAGGCCGGGACAACGGGCAGAGCGGCGATTAGTGGAACATTGACAACCAGACACAGTGTCAGAAATACAGAGAGAAAGATAGAAGAAGAAAGAAAGATGATACAGACTGACAGTTGAGGGGAGGAGAGAAAAAGCAGGAAAGCTCTACAGCCAATGGAAATGAGAGCTGCATCAAACGCTGAGCTGAGGGTAACAGGAGTGTCATTTATTCCAGCCTGGTGGTGCAGTAGGGGTTAGGTTATTGGACTGGTTAGCCCTACAGGTGGATTTAGTCAAAATGCAGCTACAGTACAGTAGAGCAGGGCAGGTGCATCTAGTTCACATTTGTGATTGAATTACAAGGCTGCACAAGCCAATCAGAGTGCAGATGACACACTGGATGAGAATGGGCAGCCAGTTAGAGACCAGGGACAAGGGGAAAGGGTTCAGGGGCCCGGCTATAACAAAGCTGGTAGAAAGGAAAAGCCGCTGTCATTGATGTCATGGAAGTCGGCGGTTTAGTGTGGTCAATACTGCTCATTCAAAGCTTATCAAAAATAAAATGCCACCGTGCATTCACAGCGTCTTTCCATGACATTAGTGACATTTCTTTCATTTTCCTCCCAGACAAAGAGGAGAAAGCCACATAAAGCACACAGCACCGACTGACAGGAAGAAGTGTCAAAGCCTAGAGCACTCTGGGTAATGCAGTTTACTTACTGTGCCGGCTGAGGCTTTGGTTCTTCTTTGATCCTAAAACATAAAAAAAATAAAAAAAGGTGTGCACAGCTCAGTGCATACAGAACACAAAGAGATGAGGAAAACAATCTAAAAGACACAAAATACTGACACAACTGATGTCACCAAAGATGTGTATGACATAAATAATACTTCAACTATAATATGAATAACATTCAGGATATTATAGATGATGCTTTGATGAACATGGCAATGGTAATGAGGTAACCAATGAAATGAAAAAAATGAACATTCAGAATGACTTTAAAGATGACATAAAGTTAGTGATTTGAACCAACTTAAACTTAAAAACAACTGCTTCATGTGAGTAACACTCTCATATTGTAGGTACTAGCATGGACAAACATTACTTTGTATGGCTTTCTACAACAAGAGGGTGGATCCAAAGTGCCAGTCCACATCCCTACTGCCAGTTTTTATTCAGCCCTAGATGTTTTTCTAAGAGAAATGCATTATTAACAGGGGCCTCTGTCACCACGCACAAGTTCAGAGTAACCAGCGAGCAGAGCAGTCCAGCTGAGCGACATTTGAGCCTTGACTTGCACACTGAGCTGCATCATAAGGTGAGGATGGGAAGCAGTAGCTCATTCTGTGTAAAGATCAACTAAGCCGAGCAACACATGCTTGATTAGATTTCATTATAACTGATAGCATGGCCATTAACGTATCAGCCGAATAGCTGGCTGCACTTAACTTTTAGTTTTAAACAAAGTCAGTTCACCTGAATTACAAAAAGACATTTTCTCACTTTTGTGAAACATTGAAAATAAGATTTAAACAACGTAACATCAACAGGTCCTCTCCACAAACAAAGTCCTGGTTACTCTGGACAATCAGCAGATCTCAGTGTTGACAATTCTTAACTACTTTCTAGAAGAAAACTTCCTTTTTTCTATTGGTGTTGGACATTGTAAATATGACTTTTTATACTGAATTCACCACTGTGTGTACATTAATACTGTCAGATAATATTGTATAACTACTGGACTTATAACCTTTTTTTTTATTGGGTTGAAACCTACTAAATCAGAGCCAAAATGCAAGAAAAAAACAAACCATGACTGTTTCTTACAATAACATCTATTAAGTAGACTTCTCCTCTAATGACCACATTGGCTCAGAAATAAACAAAAGTAGGAGTCACCAAAGTGTTACATCCTTCATAAACAGCACCACTTAACATGCAGTCTTTACATTAAACATTGCATTAATGTGGAATTGCATAAAGATACAGATGAAACAGGTGTACCCAGAATAACCGAGACAGCACAACCATCACTCAAACACACACCCAGACACACAGCAACCACCACATGAGTGTCTAGCGTCTGAATACCATCTAAAACTGAAGCTGCCAGTTCAGCTGCTCCCTCCTGGTTTAAGAGCCGATGTCACCTTAAGCAGAGCAGAGACCAGTTGCAGCTGAGAATCACACGTCATAATTTCACACACCTCATCACCACTTATATAAAGTCCATATTCAGCTTTATATAGCCCGTGTGAAATGAAATGTGTTAATTGGATTTTGTTTGTGACTGAGACACAGCAACATTTACTAATCTCATTCTGTAGGAGTGGTACTGATACTTTGGATACTTGGTTTTTACATTCTTCAATAATACCGACACTAGTCTTCAGGTTTTAATATTAGGGCTGCAACTAAAGATTATTTCCATTATTGGTTAATCTATTGATTTCTTTTAGTTATTAAAGGATTATTAAGAAAATGGTGAGACATGCACATCGCAATTTCCCAGGGCCCAAGGTGACATCCTCATATTACAAGTTGCATCCAGGTAACAGTGCAAAACCAAACATATTCTAATTGCAATTGTATAAAAGCAATTTTTTACTTTTGAAAAGCTAAAAGCAGCAATTTTAAATAAAATGAACTATTTTTTTTCCCAGAAACTTATTGTTGCTGGAACTGAAAAGCCTCTGAAACAGCTTACAAACCATGTGATACTAAACTGTCCACTATAAACTGTAAGCAAAGACTACAACTAATAGGCGCCTGATAAGGAAAATGAACAAAATGTCCACTGAAAACAATATTCCATCAAGTAAAAATCCAGTACTTTCAGATTAATCCCAGAGTGTGCACTAAGTGGATGCTATCAACTCCTAAACAAACACTGAGGCTAAAACAACTCTCATGCAGAGCCTCACAACACAGCACTGAAGCAGCCCAACAGTCTACTTTAGCTATAGAGCACTCCAGAGTGAGAAATCTGTCTGTCTGATCTCTGTCAGATGGGTGAGAGAACACACGAGAGAAGATATAGTCCTGTGTACCCATCAGTCTCGCTGCTCTGTTTTCCGATGAGCCAGTCCATATTTATCCTCTCGCTGTGTTCTCCCGATGACCTGCTGCGCCGTTCTTTATTGATCCCATCAGCCCAGTCTCTGTGGTCGCATTACAAGCCTCATATTTATCTGATCGAGCCTGCCTGCCTGCCTGCCTGCCTGGACGGCTGCCGGACAGAGTGTGTGTGTGAGTATCCGTCTATGCGTACTGTACTCATACGTGTGCATATGTGAGTGTGTGAGTGTGAGCGCACAGTGTATTATTTGACATGGGGCAGTAAAATGAGTGAGTGTAAAATGTCACAAGTGACGTATTAAGTATCCTGGCTGCAGAGGAGGCCTGCAGCAGGGCAGATACAGTCTCTGTTTTCCATCTCTTTAAACTGCACTCTGCTTCCCATGAACACCCCAACAACACACACACAAAATAAGAAAGAAACACAACCACACTGGTGCAGAGATAGGAAAAGGTTTTTCTAGAGCATCCATGTCTTCCATGATATATGATTCTCTCCTATTTGTGTCAGAGTGGCAGCCTTAAGTCTTAATCAGCCACATGCTGCTGTTATTTTTAGTCCCTGTTGTTATTTTGTTCTGTATTTGGGTTTCAACCTTCTCTGCTTCACTGGCTTTGCATGGGAAAGCAGCCAGGCTTGACAAAGACTGATGCTACACTGCTCTCTAGTGGACAGATGTGCTGCATAAACCTCTGAGATCTAGACTCCTGGAGCTCTATATGGGAATGTATAACAAAGCTATTTTGATGGAGTTTCTGTGCTGCAGTGTAATGTCTTTTGGAAAATGACGCAACAGAAAACAGCGACCGATAGATGAAGAGAGAGAGGGCAAATGAAATGAGTGAAACTGGACTATTATTACACATGCAATTAACCAGCTGGCAGGATGCTCAGCAGTAATGTGGGTGCTAAAGGCCAGGACAGACAGGAGGTAGCACGCGGTTATGTCTATAAGCTAAAGCTTCAATGATTTGTCAGTGACTCGGTTAGTCAGCTGACAGTAAAAATACCAAACACTGCTGGAACCAGCTTTTTAACTGTGAATACTTCCTGCTGTTTTTCGGTTTGTTTACGAATTGAATATCTTTGGACTTTGGTCTGACAAAATAGGTAAATTGACACTCTGGGCTCTGGGAAACTGAGATTGTAATATTTCAAAAGACTTTCTCAAAAAAAAAAGACTCAGAATCAAATATCGGTAGTTGCTGACATGCATAAAAGCAGATGTAACAACATGAGTTGAATGGCTTAGTCTGAGGTTTTTCTTAGTCTTTATTACATTATTATACATATTGTAAGACAAAAGCACCTGAAACAATAATGCTGTTTCATACCCACCAGCCACCAGATAAGTCACTCATTTGTACAGGAGGTGATGCACTCACCAGTAACACCAGTAACCCCACAAAAGCTGTGGAGTTAGCGTGAGCAGCAGTGAGAGGAGAGGGACATCATTGCTGTCACTGCTTAGCATGTCGACAAATTCAAATCTACCTGAAGCTCATGCATTGCCCCTTTCAGATAAAGATAGCGCTGATTCTGCCCCTTCGGGAGAGAAAGAGCAAAACGTACATGCTGTGATACCAAAATACATGGTCTCCTTGTAAAAGCAAGCCAGTCAGCAGTTCTCTTGTTGAGGTTTTCTCTATACTCTGATGGGAGTGACATCCTTAGGAGAGCTGGATTGATGCAGCTCCTTCTGTACAGACAGCAGGACAGTTACACAGTGGGCTGCCACGAGGACCTGAGCATTTCAAGAAGATCCCAGAGATTGAATTAATCTAAGCCCTCTGAAGATATCTCTGCTAATAAGCAGTGGGGAGGAGAGGATAGGAGAGCATAGGATGCTTAAAACATACCTCCCTCTAAACTGTGCAATCGCTCTTTCACCCATAAACTGCTACTCCTTTGCCGCAGTTGTGTTCACACAAATACATTGATGTGACAGCTGTACAACGAGCCCTGAATCATCACATTCCCACACACCCAGAACAACGTTGGCAACATGTCACATGCACCGCAGCAGGTCCAGCAATAGCTAGTGTGGATCTAACAGCTTCTGATGGGCAGCAGAAAGAGAGAGCCCGCCCACTTAGAGTCATACAAGTCAGATGCCAAGTAAAGGCCTGGCACAGAGGACACAGTCATTTACTGATATTGTAGTCAAAACATTGGTGCACTGATTGCCAAATCAGCTGACAAACGACAGACGCTTTGGTAAAAATGAATGTCACCGTGCATCTAAAGAAACATTCTATGAAAGAGAAACATTTTATCACCCGCCCCTACAGTTCTGCTCAGCTCTGCAGTACAGTAGGAACTGTGTTGAGCATCTTTAAGTTCATTAGTTTTGCCTTTACAGCGGAATCATAATCACTTTTCCAGCAGCAGCAGCAGCAGACAATATGGCTTACACTTGCTAACTAACACACCTCTGCTAGTTAAAAAATAAAAAATATATTTTTAATCTGTTTTTATCTTTATTGTGATAGTTATTTAGTTAAATGTATCTATGTGTGTGTGTGTGTGTGTGTGTGTGTGTGTGTGTTATGTTTGTATTTTCAGACTCAAATGAATACACATTTGGTGTTATTATTTACAGCACCATGGCAGTGCCCAGTGCAACAATGTGGTCACTGATGTGCTTTTAATACCTTTTGGACAACAAAA